TTCTGGGCCTTTACTTTTTTTTGTTTTAATTTTATTTTTTTGACAGGCAGAGTGGACAGTGAGAGAGAGAGAGAGAGACAAAGGTCTTCCTTCCTTTGGTTCACCCCCCAAATGGCTGCTACGGCTGGCGTGCTGCGCCGATCCGAAGCCAGGAGCCAGGTGCTTCCTCCTGGTCTCCCATGCAGGTGCAGGGACCCAAGCACTTGGGCCATCCTCCACTGCCTTCTCAGGCCACAGCAGAGAGCTGGACTGGAAAAGGAGCAACCGGGACAGAATCCGGCGCCCCGACTGGAACTAGAACCTAGTGTGGGCCTTTACTTTTACCATGTGAACAAACCATTCCCAGATTCCAGGGGTGGATTGGATCCAGAACCCACTGTGGATGCCGCAATCTACAGATGATCAAGTCCAGCATATAAAATGGAACAGTACGAGAGCTTCAAAGAGTTTGTGGAAGATGGAATTAAAATGGTAGGCTTATTTTGTATCCTTGCATACATGGGGTCTTTAAAAAAATTCACAGAAAAATGCACATTATGAAAAATTACACAGGGATTTCAAAAAGTTTGGCCTCAGAATAAAACTTCTTTTCCCCCTTTTTTCTTTCTTTATTTGAGAAGCAGAAGGAGAAAGGGAGATGGAGAGAAAAAGAGAGAGGAATAGAGACAGTTCCAGTCCATTGGACCACTCCTCAGATGCCTACAAACCTGAAGCCAGGAGCGAGGAATTCTATACAGGTTTCCCATGTGGGTGACAGGAACCCCAAAATTACCTTCTTAATTCTGGTTCACCCAAGAACATTATGACAAGAACGTTATGAAGTACTCCCATATTTGCATACAACCTAAGTATATTATACACTAATAAACTGTCGATTGCTTATAATATCTAATGTGAGTAAAAAGTAAATATTATGTCAACAGTCCTTCCACTATATTATTTAGGGAATAATAACAAGAGAAAAGTGTATATACTGTTCAGATAATTTTTTCCTGAATATTTCTGTTCTGTGGTTGTTCAAATCCACAGGTTTGAGAGTCAAACTGTATTTATCTTGTGGTAAGTATATAAGTAGGTTTTAAAACCCACCCTGAGACCTCTTCAAACACAGATGGGTGTCTGTTTATTTTACTTTCAGTGAACATTTCCTGTTTGTTTGCCATTCAGCGTGACGTTTTCCCTCTCTTGTTTTGTTTTTTTCTCTACCAGCGTCTCAGAATTCACTGTTCACAAATCACCTTGAGTGCTGTGAGGGCATCCCTGGACTCCAGGCCAGCGTGTCTGATCCAGACGCCTTGGGGGTGGTGCTGAGACCCGGCCAGGCCTCCCAGACCCCCGCTGTGCTACACTGAAGCTGCTATTCTAGAAACCACACTGGCTCTGCTGTAGTGTTAACTGCATGGACTTTATTTTCCCCTTTCCCAGGTGTAAGAAAAAAAAAACAAAACAACGATGTCAGATAAGTGTAATCACTTTTCCTCTCATCTTTGTACCACAGTATTGTTCAACATTGTATGTCTATTTTTTTTTTTTTTTTGGACAGGCAGAGTGGACAGTGAGAGAGAGAGACAGAGAGAAAGGTCTTCCTTTTTCCGTTGGTTCACCCCACAATGGCTGCTGCAGCTGACGCGCTGTGGCTGGTGCACCGCGCTGATCCACAGCCAGGAGCCAGGTTTTTCCCCTTTTCTCCCATGGGGTGCAGGGCCCAAGCACTTGGGCAATGCTCCACTGCACTCCCGGGCCACAGCAGATAGCTGGACTGGAAGAGGGGCAACCGGGACAGAATCCAGCGCCCCAACCGGGACTAGAACCCGGTGTGCTGGTGCCGAAGGTGGAGGATTAGCCTATTGAGCCGGCACGGCCGTGTATGTCTACTTTTTAATGCATTTAAAGTCTTAAAACAGTTACCTTGGCTTTTAAATCAACGCTAATTTAACTTTAGCAACTTATTTACTTGTTTTTCAATCAGCATGCATTTAACTTGTAACTATGTGCCAGGGTTGTGCAAGTACTGACTGTCTGCTCCTCAAAACAAGCCTGATGCAAGTGCTGTTATTACTGATATCCATATTCATTGAGCAGATGTGGAGACTGAGGCACAGAGAGTTGAAGTAATTCACTGAGCTACAGGCAGAGCCGACTCCAGCCCCAAACTCCCTTTTTTAATTTTTTCTCCTTGTCACAGACGGCATAGCACTTCTTTCTGCAAAGCTTTAGGTTAATAAATTTTCTCACTTTTATATTTATGAAAATGTCTTTCTTTTTACTCTAAATCTCAAATGTTAATTTATCTTGACAGTTATTTTTATCTAGCAATTTAAAAACATTTTTCTCGTGTCTTCCATTATTTGAATATTGAACTTTGTATTCCGCTGTCATCTTTTGTAAGAGTAGACTGATTTTTTTTTCTCCTGGTGTTGCTTGTAAGATTTTTTGATTCATACTTGATTTTGATTTTCACAGTGTGTCCAACTGTTGGCTCGATGTACCTCTGGAAAATACGTGTCTTTGATTCTGGGTTTTTTTCAGCTATCATTGCTTTGAATTTTGCCTCTCTCCTTTCCACTCTTTTCTTTCATTACAAAAAATCCCTGTCAGATGTACTTTGGATAGTCTCCTTCTGTCTTTCCTGTATTAGTATCATGTCTTACTTTTTATAATAAGTTTTTTATATCTCCATAGTTTATCCTCATTCTTAACTATTTCTTGGATTTATCTTCTAAACTAGCAATAGTTTAGGTCTAATTTTACAGTGTCTTCTGTTTGATTTTTTTTAAAGATTTATTTGTTTATTTGAAAGTCAGAGTTACACAGAGAGAGGAGAGGCAGAGAGAGAGAGAGAGAGAGAGAGAGAGAGAAAGGTCTTCCATCTGATGGCTCACTCCCCAAATGGCTGCAATGGCCAGTGCTGCACTGATTCGAAGCCAGGAGCCAGGAGCTTCTTCCAGATCTCCCACGCGGGTGCAGGGGCCCAAGGACTTGGGCCATCCTCTATTGCTTCCCCAGGCCATAGCAGAGAGCTGGATTGGAAGTGGAGCAGCTGGGTCTTGAACCAGCACCCATATGGGATGCTGGTGCTTCAGGCCAGGGCGTTAACTCGCTGAGCCACAGCGCCAGCCCCTGTTTCAATGGTTTTTAAAAATATCTCAAAGATCTGTTGATTTATGTTATTTATATGCTATTTTTATATTGTGCTCTTTGAATATCATGTCTACTTATGTTTTTTAAAGTATATTTTTATAGTCTATTAAAAGCGTCTCTTATAATTTATAGTTCTTGGGATACTAATCTGCCTTTTATATATTTATTTCCTTGGTGCCAGCTGACTTTCCCTCTTTTTGATTTGTTCATATAATTTGTACTGTTTTACTGTAAACTCATCTTCAGATAGCTTTTCTTTCCTCTATAAATCTCATGACTTGAAATTCTTTAACTTTCTCAGCCAAACTCTTTCATCTTTGCCCTTTCAAAACCCTATAGCAAGCAGTGATTCTGAACAAATTTTGAGCTTAAAATCAGTTTGGAATCTTTCATTAGGCAAGTCATTTCCACTGGGTTATTATACTCCTTTGAGGGACAGGTCCTAGTTGGGATGAGAACTGTCTACCTAATGCTGAGACAGATGGCAGCCTTTCTCTTTGCTTTCTGAGAGTGACAGGCCAAGTCTTGCTATGCCTTTTAAAAAATGGTACAGCACTTCCAGGGACAGATTTTATACAAAAAATTCAAGCTGGAAGCCCTAATCCATACTGACTGACTACCAATGATCTATTTCTGCCTCAGTGAAGTTTATAATTTTGTGTGTGGGCCTGCGTGTAGGTGTTTCTCTGGTGCTGGTCTATAGTAACTCTTGGATTTATTTCTTCACATTCTTTGTCAGATTTGGAAAATTATCAGCCACGTTTTCTTCAATTATTTCCTTTGTACAACTCTTCTCTCCATTCATCTTCTGGAACTCCAATTACAGTTGTGTTCAATTTTGCACCGCAGCTTATCCGTCTTTCACACATTTAATTTTTGGTGTTTTCCTCTCTGTTTAGTCTGTGTATTTTAGATAGCCTATTTTTAAAGTTTACTAATGTACTCTTTCATATGCTGGGTTTGACACATATTAAATCCATTTATTAAATTTTAATTTCGGTTATAGAATGTTTCAGAATTTCTCTTCAATTAATTTTTTTATATTTTAGTTCTCTGCTGAAGTTCTCTTTGTTGTCATTCATATTTTGAACATATTAGTCACAGTTACTTTAACTCCCATTTTGGATAACTCTGATATGAATAAGTATAGTCTTGCTTCTAGTGACTATATTTTTCTTGGCTTCTTCTCTTGGACTGGTTGGTAACACAAAATTGAATACTTAAAAGTAAGTACGAAAAAAAATTACAGAGATAACTTGAGGATCTGAATGATGTTATCTTTGTGAATCTAAGGTGAATTGCCACCTTATGTAAGTGGTTAGAAGCATATCAGTTTTATTCGGTCTGGCACTCAGTTGATTCAAATCTGAGATTCAATGTTTACAAAGATTGGCTTATATTTAGTCTGTCCTTATCCCTGGGGTATAGCTCTTTGGAAATTCTCTCTCTCTCTCTCTCTCTCTTCCCCACTCTCTTTATTGGTGGATCCTGAAATCCAACGTGATCTTCAGTATCCTGAGGCCACTGAAGGCTCTCTGAACCACCACTTGCCCTTGGCGTCTTAGCACACTGGCGATAAGGACCTCACAGAGCAAAGCATAGTCACTCACTAAGATTTCTCTGCTCCCATCTCTCCAGGATCTTGGCACGTCAAGTCCTGGGTGCTAGCTCAGAGACGGAAACCCTGACTTACAACTATCTTAAGGTCTTCAACCCAGAGAGATGCAACAATCCCTGGTTTAAAAAAAATTATAAAATTAAGCAACCATTTTTTAAAAAAGAAGGCAACTATAGTGATTTTGCAAACATTCTAGAGTCTTCACAAATTCTTGTCAAACATTCTGCCTGTCACCTTGGCATATCTTATCTAAGAAAAATAGACAATATGCAGTGAGCGTTAATCCCATGTACCAGCTCGTGGATAAAGAAATCATTGCATTGTGGTTTCTGGGCATCAAACCTCAGGTAGGGGACTCTAAAAAGAGTGGCACATGAGAGATTGATCAGTGGGTCAAGTTTTACTTTTTTTAAAAATTAATTTATAGAAGGTGAACTATTTCATGTATTTCATAGATACAGATTTAGAAGCACAGTGACACTTCTGACTCTACCCACCCCCCGCCAATGCTCCCACCCTCCCTCCTTCTTCCTTTCTTATTTAATTTTTACTGTGACACACTTTCAGCTTTTTTTTATAATCATAAGCCTCACTCTCCACTGAGTAAAGAATTCAACAGATAGTAAGAAGAAAATAACAGAAGTAAAAAACACTATTCTTCAACAGTAGAGACAAAGGCTGCAAACAATAATCCAACCTCAAAATGCCAGTTTTGCTCATATACATTTCATTTTTTGTACTCTATTAGTTACCACAAAACAAGGAAAACATGATATTTATCTTTTTGGGTCTGGCTTGAGATTACATCGCATTGGTAGATGAACATAGGGTGTGTTGACATCTTTTGCATTCTATAAGAGTTATATATATGTGTGTGTATAAATATAAATGTATATGCATTGATTTAATGTTTTTGTCGCAAAGTGAATGTATCTATTTTTTTAAAAAAAGATTTATTTATTTATTTATTTGAAAGCAGAATTACAGAGAGCCAGAGACAGAGAGACAGAAAGGTCTTCCATCTGCTGGTTCACTTCCCAATGGCCACAACGGCTAGAGCCAGGCTGACCCTAAGGCAGGAGCCAGGAGATTCCTCTGTGTCTCCCATGTGGGTGCAGCAGCCCAAGGACCTGGGACATACTCTACTGCTTTCCCAGGCCATAGCAGAGAGCTGGATTGGAGTGGAACAGCCAGAACTTGAATGGGGGCGCATATGGGATGCTGGCAATGCAGGTGGTGACTTTACCCATGATGACATGGTGTCGGCTCCTAAACTTATCCATAATTTCATTTCCATGAACTGTCTGAAGTTCTCTCAAACATAAAAAATAAATGTGTATGTATATTTATAGGCATATGTTTGTTTAATTTGGGTCTTGCACCTTTCTCTGTTTTTTTTTTTTTTTTTACTGTAAGCAATCTTATGAGAATATTTGGTATTTAAAGTGAAGTAATTTTTCTATTGCTTATTCTAAATACATACTGTTTTTACAGAAAAGTCCTTGATTTTTGCATACTGATCTTACATCAAGAGATATTAATATACTCACTGATTTTATTTGCATTTGCACTTTCTGTTTATATAATCTTTGAGTTTCAATGGCTCCACTTTTTTAAAAAAAGAGACATGTAACAAATGTCCTCATAGAAATACAAATTAATTTTGCAGATTCTGAGGGTATCTATTAATGCTGATAAGTTAATTTTGGTAACCTGAGAAAAAGTGAGGAAAGCCCTGGCAATGAAAAAGATGCAACCTGGAAACCCACAGATGAACAGACCCCTTTCTGTGAAAGGAGGTATTGGCTACAGAATCAACAGCTTTGAGAAAGGCTTTATTTTAATTGCTGTTAAATGAATATAACCTTACTCTTTTTCTTCCCTGCAATTAGATGAGTTTTTAAATTTTGTTGGTGATAGCTGTTGAAAAAATATGAGCATACCTCCTGTGCCTGGGGTGTGCGTGTTCCTGGAGATGGGTGTATCTGCAGACTCCCTCCACAGGGCACTTGTGTGGGTAGTAGGAGAAGTCAGAAAATCTCCTTGCTGGGAAATGCTCAGGACTGGAGAATACGCCATCTGGATGCTGTGCCCCAATAACAGCACATCCAGAGGGATTATGAGCTTAATAATAACAAAGAATTCTCTTTTAGTGTAAGATTCAGCTCATGTTCTTGCTCTTAATTCATTGATTTTTACAACTGAAATTGGCCAGGGATTTGACCTTCTGCATAGGAGTCAGAAACAAAAAAGAATTTACTACTGCTCCCAATTGCATGAAGAGCTCTTTTACTGCTGATGGGAACAGGGGGTTGTTCAGATAATTTTCTACAAACTTCTCTAGGCAGGAGCAGAAAGTGGGCTGGCACTTAGCCAAAGAAAGCTTGAGGACTGACTGCTGAGTCCAAGACACCTACCAGCTGACAGAGGCTCTCCAGTGCCACACGCCCATAGCTTCACCTCCTCTAGTTCCTAGACCTTATTCTAGAGGGATTAAAAGCCATTTATTGTGATTTTTAAATTAGCTGGTAAAAGTTCACTTACAGGAACTCTGAACAGTGGAATACTGAAAACACCCTCTGCCATGAGAATAAGAAAGAAATTGTGTTTTTCTTGTGTTTGTTTTGTTTTGGTCAGATGCAAATCCATTATAACCTTCGTGTGTACCTAAAAATATTGTGATATTAAACACAATATTTCGATTTTCTTTTTAATACTCACCTCAACTATTGTAGTAAATAACTTAGGAGTTGAAATATTTAAGAAGATATGACATAGTTTTGCTTTCCAAACATGTAATAAAATGCAAAAGGTAAATTTTGAACATACTTTTTAATAAGAAATAACCAAAAAAGGATGTACTAAGCTTCATGATGATGGTTAAAATAAGCAAATATGTGATTGCCTCCTAGTCACTGTAAGCTGGCTCTAAAATAAAGCAGCAAATTGGAAAGGAATAAATTCACTGACAGGCCCCGGGGAAGCTCAAACTTCTGAGTCCTGCTTCACACAGCTGCAAGGTCCTTGCTTGCCCTGGGAGAGGGTGTTTCTCTTAGCCTCGCACCCAATTTGCTGCCACTTCTGTCACCTGCTCCCATCCCGATCACACACAGATCGATGACACTTCTGTTTTCAGAAAAGTCTACAGATAAATAGGGAACAAAGCTTCCTGTACTACTGAAGACTCAGTAGGGATTTGCATGCTTTCTTTCCCGTGTTCTGCCCATAAATGCTTGGAAATACTGGGAGTAGATAGTGGAATGTTTAAGAACTGAGGGTATAATATGTCACATGCCTGCTACAACCCACAAACAACGGTCTCTCCTTAAGATCTGAAGTGTCTCATTTAGCCTGGTGACATCTGTCAACTTTACATTTTTGTGTAATTATTAAGTTACTCACTGGAAATGATGTTTTTGAAGTTCAGAATCTGGGAGCTTTGGGACTTCTGGTGTCCTGTAGGATGATAATGGCTGCCTTGTTTCACCACATTTCCCCAAAGACAAACCCCTCAACCAGCATAGTGAAAGCCTCCCAAACCAATGGTTCTGGTGTAACCAGAAAACAACACACTGTAAACTTTACTTTGTAAGTGCATAAAGAAAAAAATACGAAACTAGAAAACCAGCTGTGGAGTTCACAACAGAGAGAAGAGACACTATAACAGAAATATGATAGATTGAGAAATAGATAATTATGATATATAGATTATTACAATAGGGAATTTCAACAAAAAGGTACTTGATGGAGAGACATGGAGGTGGAGACACTGATACATTTAATAGACACAAAAATGTATAGATAGATTGATGTATGATTATAATAGATAATTATGACATAAAGATGACTTGAAGATAGTGACACAGAGAGACAATGGTAGATTACACAGATACAGAGAGATGCAGGTGATAGAATATGGAGAAAAGAGAGGATGGAACACTTGGTTAGCAAGGTGGAATACTGATCAACTCGCTTCCGGATATAGGAGGACCACTGTAAGGAAAATGCAATTTGTTCAAGACCTGATGGACAGAATCCTGGTTCCTGGGGAATCAAAAATAAGGGCCATGAAAGGCATGAGGTGAGAGGGGCCGGTCTGATGATCTCCCTATCTTTAGAGTAGCGTCTTGGTGGTCAAGGAAGACAGGTAAGCAAGTAGTGAAAAGTAATGTCCCTGGAGAAGCCAAGCAAATTACAATGAACAGCCATCACCTCGCCTTCACCAATGGGCAACCACAGGAGGGTCCTTCATGAATCAAATTGTATGAGCCACTCTGCATTTACCCATATTTGCTTTTGAAATTACAATGTTTAAAAATAAATACAAGGCCCATTCCATACACAGTTATAAAAAGAAGGAATTTAAAAAAGAGAAAAAATTATCAAGTGGTGACAATGACGTTTAAAAAATAACAGTAAGCAGGGGAGAACTCTCACAGAACGTTCATATCTGCATCAAATACCCTCGACAGGCCATTGCAGACATGAAACAAACACTCTACATAACAATGCCAAGGAATCGATTTAAAGTGGAAAAATGTGATACATACATAAAAATTAAAGTATTCATTACTGGAATACCAGAAGAAGAATAACAACATAACAAAGCAGAAATGGTATTTAAAACAATAATCCAAGGAAACTTGCTCACAACTAAGGAACCTGAACATATGTATTGAAAGAATTCATTGTGCTCTGGCAAAATTTGAAAATATAGTCAATATCTAGATCGGCTGTGATAAAAATGAATTATAAAAATAAAAAGATGCTCTTTCAGCTTCTAGACAAAAAGACAAAGTTACTTATAAAGCAAAGAGAAAGACTGGATTCAAACTCTTCACCCACAAAATACAAAATAAGAAAATGGTGGAAATTTCCAAAATAACTGAGGAGAGAACGTTGAGACTTTTAAAACTCTAAAGCCATAGAAATGCATTTTAAACATGGAAAAAAAAAAACTCAGGAAATGCAGTCCTCAGGAATCTTCCAGAGGAGAAGCTTTAAACAATAGTGATAAATATCAGATAAAAGACTGATTTTGAGCATTTGGTACAATAGCGAAAATTTAATTCAAGTGAAAAGCTCTCTAATTACAACTTCCTTACTCACCAAAAAGACACACTCACAAAAAAGCCAGCAATAAACAGGTTGATATATATATATATATATATATATAATATATATCAAACAAACAAGGGTACCCCAAACACTTCATGATAAATGAAATTAAAGTAAGTATACTTTGGTGGAAAAAATTTGAACTCCATCCATACAGAAGTTTTCAAAAAGTTCATGGAAAATGTGTGTTAACAAACAGCTGTGCATGGATTTCCAAAAAAATTTTGTA